CGTGTGTGTGCATATGTATGTGTGTGTGAGGGAGAGAGGGGAGGTCCTTCCACTGCCAGCTCGTTGTGTGAGGATTTGGAACAGTACCAGAGGCCCTCGGAAATGTAATTGTGACTTACCTGTGCCAAAGGGGCTTTAACTGTCACATTTATAAAGGGGAAGGCAGACAGGACTGGGAAGTTTAGTCACCTCTGAGCCACCCATCTTCATGAGGGGAGGACAGCTGCAGATTGACAGGCGAGGCCTTGGAAACACTTGGCCTGAAGTGTGTACACGGCGGGGGTGCAGCCCGGAGAACCCTCCCTCAAGGGGACTCTTCCTCCATCAAGGAGCGGAGACCCGGTGAGAGGGGCATCGCCGCTTTAAGGAGGGCATGCCCTGCCCAGCGGGGTGGGGTCCAGGGTCTGAGGTGGACCGTGTTCAGCTTGAGGCGCTGAGATCTTCTGCTTCCAGGGACACTGACCCAGGCCAGAGTGACTTCTCTGATGCTGCACTTGACTGGTTTATGCCTCTGAGATCCAGGCCACGGCTGTATTTCATTTCAGTTGTCACCACGCGCCCTCCTGCCATGAAATGGCACTGCCAGTGCCAGCTGTGTCCTTGGGAAGGGGGATACTTATGAAGGTCGAGGAGGCAGCCCCGAGCACCTGAAGATTCCACGCTGCTAACTGCAGGAAGTGACTAGGGAAGGGCAGGCCCTTGCTAACTGTCAGGGTGGAAATGCCTGGTGAACCCCGTCGGGTCATCATTTATTTCCTGAGCGCCTGCTTATTAGCATGAGGCTTGGAAAGGCTGGTCACTCCAGCTGTCCTTGCCGGCAAGTCAGCGAACATTAAAATGAGTTCTGCGCTTGCTTCTGCTTTTATTCCCACCACTTTGCCTGCTCATTTTGCTGGAGGAATATGTTCTCTCGTTCCTTCTGGGTCCTTGCGTTCCTGGCAGGCTGCAGTGGCCCTCTTAAGCCTCGGGCCAAGTGGCCGAGATGATGCAGGTGACCGTGAGCACAAGTGAAAACCCTCCGGGACATGGCCCCGCCCCGCCCAGGGGTCAGTGCCAGGCTGGGTACAGGGCAGGCGCTCTGTTGGTGTGAACAAAACTGAACACAGTACAGAACAGGCTTGAAGCGGTTCACTGCCAGGCAGGCACTCAGGCTGGGCCGGGGAGGAGTGTGTTCCAAGAGCTTGCAGCAAATCCATCGTCCCTCAATCCTGCCCACACCTCAACACCTTTCCGGAAGAAGCAAGACGTGTATAATAAAGCAACAGCCCTGCAGTCCCCGCCGTGGTCAAACATCCTGCAAAGGACGGGAGGAGCTCTTTGAGCAATTGCAGTATCCTAACAGGATGATCTTGAAACAAGGCCTTCTGCCTCTTGCCAAATCCCACACCCACCAGCCCTTGCCGGGAGGGGCTGTCGCAGGCCAGTTGGGAACCCCGGGTTCCCGGGCCCTGCCCCCTCTGCATCTTCCTTTCCACCAGCAAACATCCCCGAGAAACGTGCAGGCAGGGGTGTCTCCTGGGCCGCCACCTGGGGAGAACTGAGGAAGCCTGCTTGAGGGGCCCAGGAGACGGGCTGGTTTGAAATGCCTGCTCCTCCACAGTGCCTTACACAGCCACGTGGGAACCGGAAGCAAAAGGAAGACTGTATTCCCCCTGTACACCTACCAAAACATCCTCCCGGGTCTCCAGTCCAGCAGGAAAAGTTAACCAAAGCTCCCCCTTACTGTACAGCGAGCCGTTTTGTAACCACTGTCACCCTCATTTTAAATGACTGTCCCTGTGGCACAGTGACACACATTGGGAGAGAAACAGCAGGCTGTTTCATTTATAATTGTAATATCTTGTGGATCAGAGATTTTAGGGGACATAATTTTGATTTTTTAAAATATTGCATGAAAGTGTTTCTCTTGCTACCTGGATTTGGGGGGCACTCCCATACATTTCGCACCCAAGAAAGTGCTTCACTTGCCTCCCCCTGGTCCAGGTCTGGCTCTTGGGATCGGATCTACTGCCACAGCCAGAAGGATATTCCAGTGGCAAGAAGCCACCATGATAATAATGCCGGCTGGCACTGTCAAAGGCTTGACATGTGTCAGGCCCAAGGTCAGGGACTCCACAGACATCATCTGGTTTAAAACCTCACAGCAACCCTGAGGGCGGCACCCTCTCTGTCCTCTTTGGAAGGGAGGAAACAGACTCGGGAACCACCTATATCAGGGAGTCAGCTCCAAGATGTGGGCCTAGGACGCTGCCCCATGACTCGGGGCCCAGGGCTCCTTGCCTCCCCCTACCGCCACTTGACAGTCATTTTAATCACGACCCGGGCCGCCGAGAACAATGTCAGGTCCTAATAGATTCTGCTGTCTCATTTCTCAACCTAGTTTCCCTTAACTGATATTTCATGGCTATTGTTAACGTGCATTTTTCACCGAGTAATTTTCGCAGCCCGAACTTGTAACACATCCCAATGACAAACGTCCCCGGTTCCAAATCTCCCGTGAGCTGCAATGTCACCCTCATCTCCCACTTCCCTCCCCCACACCTTCCTGCGACAACCCATCCAGTTTTATGATCACTCTGTCCCAGTTATCACTACTGAACCTTTAAGAAGCCAGATGCATTTCAAGTTTAATTGAATAAAATCCTTTGTCTAATAAATTCCACATGAACGCTACATAAATCAGTGCCCGGGGGGGATGTGTGGCACATCCCTCCCCTCAGGCCGGGCCCAGGAGTCTCGCTGGCATTTCTGGACCCATGCTGGTCCGATCTTGCTCAGGGAGAGGACTGGATTCTCTGCAGCCCAGCTGGGCGCGGTTTTCAATGGCCTTGGCCTGTCAGTTTTCTCCTCTGGGAGTCCATCGTGGAAGACACCGCTTGGGCACAAGCAGAGGCAGGAGACGGGCTGGTTGGGGACACAGGATTTGGAAGTTCAGGGGACACTCGGGGACTTTGGGGATGTCCCAGTGCTTTCCTACTCCACAGAGTCAGAAACTTCTGATGCACCCTTTCCCAAGACAGACGCACACACGTGCACACAATCCGCATCCAATCTGAGGAAGTCTGTGGAAGCCCCGGAGAAGACCGACCGCTCTAAGTGAACCAGGGCAGCAGCCGCTTCAGGAGCGAGTCCGTTCACAAGGCCGCTGGACGGCCTCGTGGCGGGGTGTGCAGGGCCCCAGACTCGCGGTGTGAGAAGGAGTGTTGGAGCCGGCCGGGGAGGCCGCCGGAGGACGTTTGCTGCCTGCAAGACTGTGTGAGCAACAATCAAACACATGGCGTGGGTGTGGGCCTCAGGCCGACTCAGGTTCAAGACCAGCTCTGTCACCTTCTAGTGTCATGACTCTGGGCAAGCCCTTCCATCTTTCTTGGACCTGCTTCTTCATCTGTAACATGGGAATGATAAAAACATCTACTCCACAGGGCCACGGGGGGAGTTTAATGAGGCAAAGTTTAAAAGGCTTAGCGTGCCCCGTCACGTTAGCTGCTATTATTACAGTTGGTTTTTATTATTATTTTGTTTTTCTTTGGATTCAAGTTCCCGCTCTGCCACTTCCTAGCTGAGTCACCCTGAAGAAATCACATAATCACTGAATCCTCATCTGTTACTGCTGGGGATAATACACCAACTTCCAAAGGTTCAGGAAATATGTCCGTGGGCCTGGCCAAAAAACCCAGTTGTAGCTCTAGTTGAATCAGATTCAAAGCACTTTCAAATAGCTCAGGCCCAGGTGAAGCGCAGAGGCACTGAGCTGTGCCTCTGGTTTGCTTAGACTTCCTGCCTGCGGGAGATGGGAGGCCTCCGGGGGGCTGGGCCCAGTCAGCCCTGCGGACGTGGCTGCAGGAACACCATGCCAAGGTAAAAGGGAGGGTGACCCGGTCATAGAACAGTGAGGATCAAAAGGGATCAACGCCCGAGGGCCCTCTGTGGGCAGCAGCAGAGGAGCCGGGACAAGAAGCCTGGTATTCAGAGTCCCACAGGGGGACAGAGGCCGTGATCGACAGTTAAGCGGGGCACAGGAGGCGAGGGGACCATAAACTGGAGGACCATGCTGCAAGCTACCTCTCCGAAGCAGGTGGCACAGGGACGAAGGCAGCCTGGGGAACAGATTAAATAAGGCGTCCAGCTGACCCAGGACCTGGGGGTCCTCCCCCCAGCCCCACCAGATACTCCCAAAGCACAGATCCTCCGGCCCTCGTCTGCGGCCATCTGCAGCGCTACGTCCCTCCCTAGCCAGCAGGTGCTTTTATTTACGATCACCTTGGAAGGGTCGAGCAGACATATGTTGCTAAGGGTCGTTTATTCTTGTTTATAAAATTTATGGCTTCACCTCGATTACACACTGTCAAAACGGAAAGGATTGGCCCCAAAGTCTCTTGCCGCATGACTG